TTTTCTTCTTCACCACAAGAAACAACGCTGCAACTTAACATCAAGATGTAACGTATTAATAAAAGATACATGTATTATGACTGGAGAAATCTTATATCTAAAACGATTCTCTCTTTGCAACAGGTATAAATTTTTGGCAAACAAAACAATATACGTAAATAACTTGTATACTACCTGTTTTGGTGCAACATCACTGTCAGGAGTTCGGGCATATCGTACACATTTTGCCATAAAATCGTACAGATCAGTCTATCGTATTAAAGAACATCGACTTGTATGGTTTTATTATTTGACCATAATCTTCACGGATTAGACTTACTCAGGAAGTCAATCAACATTCGTTCGTGTCTTGCACTCAAACGAGTAAACCTCTTGAGTATCGCGATTCTAAGTGTCGCGGAATTTGATGTTAGTTAATTTTTGCTATTACTACGTGGGCTTGCTGGTTGACTGTTTGCTTGTTGCGCACGTTGTATGTAAATATTTAAAAGTTTCAATTTGCTGGTATACAGACAATTGAGATGTGGTTTCAACAGTTCTTCACCAACTGCCAAATGTATTGCTACCATACAAAACACGGCACTTTTACGTACTGCGCTTTCATTATCATCGTACGCCTGTTTAGACACGCATAATTAACATTGTATATTATGTATGATAAAACAAAGATTTTCTACATATAGATTATATGTTAACTTACTTTGATGAGACCGGGCATGACTTTAGTTAAATGTGGTTCTATTGCATCGCGACCCCAATGCTCCACAACCTTATGAAGCATTTTTATCGCGCCCATATTCAACGGGTATGGTTCGGTAGTTATTATAGTCGATACTAAGTGAATTACTTGTTCCGGTTTCAAAACCATCGCTATTGTTGCAGCACATTTCTCCGCCATCCAGAGAACCTGATAAAAACAAAAGTAAAAGTAATAAAACAATAATCGTTCGTATATCATGAAATTAATTTATATATTTACCGGAGATCTTGAATTACTGCTACCGGAAGAATCTTGTTTCTGATCGTCTAACTTATATGCGTTAATTACTTTTAAAACCAGCAATTCAGGGTAAACAGAAAAACTATCTACAAGTTCTTGACACTTAAGCATATCAATTAAAGTTTGAAGCACTTCTACTTGCATTCCCTTGCTATCGTTAGTCAAACTATCTAATAACGTTTTGAGCAGTTTTCTAGAAAATAAGAATAAATAATTAGAATTCTCTTAATCATAATAATAGAAAAATAATTCAATAGCATGATGCATACTTAAAATTTTGTTTAATATACAAGGCATCTCCTTCGCGAACATATAATTGAAATTCTTGTAGAGCTGTTATTTTTTCTTCAGTTTGTGTCATTTTAGATTGCAACGTTTTAATCATATTATCTAATATCTCTGGCCTCTTTATCGAATCAGGCGATGAACCTGTGACAAACATTTAATAAATCAAGTAGAATTACACGAGTTGATGAGTAATTTTTCTATAAATAATTTTATACATACCATGCGTTTTATAACCATTATTCTCTTGAGGTAGGATAAGATCTCCCGCGATCGTATCACTTGAACCATTAACTGTAATATTAGTCACACTTCGCCCTCTTTGCGTAGGCGAAGAAACAGAAGACGAACGACCCTAATAAAAATAAAAAAAATGATGTGCTAATGCATTTCAAATACAATATATTTTTAAATTATGTATATCAGCCATTTAATTACCGAGTTACACAATGTAAGTCCCTCCATTTTTTCTTCTACATCAGCCATATTACTAATTCCACTGTCTTTACTAGTAGTTGCTCTTTCCAAACGTTCGAAACCATAATTTTGTATCTCTGCCGTCGTACGTCTTAAAGATCTGTGGGAAGCACTTAAAAATTAAAATGACTAAGAATTACAAATTGTAGACCGATCGAGTTAAGAACGTCACTTACTTATAAACTTCTTCCAAGTTTTCATCCGCATTGTCGATATCACCTTTACCTTTTGAACGAGCTGGTGAACTCTGTGCTCTAGGCGGCGGAGTTCCAGGAGATGCGGGATTACTTGAACCTGACGATTTTCTTAAATGATTTTGCACCAGTGGCAATGCTGTCTCCTATAATCCGATACATTTAACAAATAGTATAACTTATTTTTTGCTTGTAATAAAAAACTGCTGGTGTATATCACACCTTACCTGATAATACTTCGGTAATTCAGCTAATATCATAGTCACTTTCGGAGGATTTAAATTATACAATGATATAACAGCGCTTTGTGCATGCCTTCTAACATCTTGGCTTTTAACATCCTTTGACCAGTCGAGTAACCTTGCCAGCGCTGTTCCTGCAGAATTATTAAGCGCAGACGGTTCTGCTGTTTCTGCTATTTGTGTAATAAACGTAAGTGTGGCTATTTTGACGCGAGAATTTGGTGTTTGTGTTGGATCCGTCAAATACCTCATTACAGCAGGTAAAAGTTGCTCTCCTGGGAAGCATTCTCTAAAAGTTCGAAGAGATTTAAGCAATTATCTAAAATTAATAAAGTATTAACTTCAATAATCTCATATTTAACCTTACCTAACAACTTCAAGCGTTTTATGAATTTTCGCTTGTATCGATCCAAGTAAATCAGTCCCTAATTTATTTAATAATCTCGCACACAATACGTAAAGCCAGTCACCAAGATCTTCACTATGAGTAGCTACCAATTCATTCAGTGTGTCCAAAAATAAGCTGAATACTTTTGTGTGAGAATCCATAAACATTTTCGTAAAAATGTCCGTTACTTTGCGCAATTCCGTAGCTGTAAGTGTATTTCCATTTGAAAGAAAATGTTGCAATCCGACTAAACCTTCTTTTCTATCGCCCCAATGTTTATGTGCACAATTTTCTATGATTTCCTTAATATCCTGTAAATTAAAGAATCTTTTTCATAATATTATAAACGTAATATGTATAAATTCTTGTTTTTAATACATGTTCGATAGGGTTTTACTATATTTTCTCTTTTGGCAGAAGTATGACATAAATGAAAATGAATATTAAATTTAACAAACCTTTGGGATAGATTGATCCCACATATCACGATACAGTCTCTGTTGAGAGCCACTCCATGAGAACGACTAATGGGTAGATGGACGATGGACAGATATGAAGAACAGAACGGCGCATCGCGTTAGTCCAAACCAAACAAATACGCCGCAACAAAACCAAAAGAAAACATGACATGCGTTATCTACAATATAGGATGCTGAAAGCCTGTTTTTTAAGCTTGTGGTCTAATTCTACTCTGGTCGTCGAGTTCAGGAACTAGGATATTTTTACAAATCTAAATATATGAATTTAATGGAAGAAATCTTGAATAATTCGATTCACATAGAGTGATAAACAACTCTTATAAACACGAGCACATAGCATGATATTCATGAACTTGTGTTTGATTGAAGACAGATATGTTTAAAGCATCTTGCATAACAAATGAAAACTCTCAAATAACACTGCAAGCATGTACTTACATAAACATAAAGTAAGAAAGCGTCATGATACAATAATTGCATGTATCATGTGTTTATAATGCTAACGCATAAATGATATTTGTTATAATGTATATTGTTCATGAAATCGATATATTCTGTATTAGATATTGGATATTTTGTATTAACTTTACTTTACTACTATCATTATGATGAGGTGTGATCACTACTCTATCTTTTAGTACAGAATCCACATTATTCCATCTACTTACATCATTTGGTCGCCTAAAGCTGTCCATACTGCGTTCAGAGCATATGCTGCTAGTTTCACTATCATCACTGTGATCACCTTTTCCTCTTGGTGTTCTTGTATAACTATCAATGCTATCAAACGTAAGTGCATCCGCCAACGCTGATTCCGCTTCACGCGACTGTTGCAACATTTTTTGCGCCATAACTGGTCTAGATTGTGGCCTGTCCGTTGGAGACATGTGTAAACTTCTTCCCCTACATTTCATTGTATTCTTTATTCAACCAGAATTAAGATTAAGCAAGAGTACCAAAGTGAATGCTATACCGTATTTTGCTTGCAAAACTTCTATCCATTCCAAACCTTTGCGGGCTTGGTTCACGACTGTTACCAGTACTTCTGATTCCATGTCCAGATAATCGCCTAGGTCTTGCAATTAATGATTCTCCTTCACGATTATATGTTGCATAACTCAGTCTTGACGATGGCGATCCTGATCTACTGCTAGCTGTTACGTATAATATACAAATTATATTAATTTTTCTTTTTTTTTCAAAAAAGTTGAAAAATTGTTCTTTCTTTTCTCTGAACTTACGTTGAGATTGCGACACTCCAGATACTCTCGTCCTTGTTCTTGCGGTTCTTTCTGGACTTGCAATGGCCGTTGTGTCTGGTGATTTGTTAGGTCGAGCTAAATGAAAGAAGCATAGATATAATTTCTTTAAAATATGTAGTAACAGTTACAATGAAAATCTTAAAAACTTCTACTCACGGAGAGATGCTTTCTGTCGGCTCATATTCGCGTACATCATTCTCGCTTTAGCTCTTTGTGCAGCTTGTAAATCTATTGCACTGGTAGACCTAACGCCAGGAGTTCCACGATCTGAAGAAAAGTTAAATAAGTAATTAGCAAGATCGTAAGAAAGAAAATTAACATCATACATCATATTAAATACAACAGTGCATGTTCTAAGACGCGGTGATTTTTTAAAAGCATCGAACGAGAAGGTAACAATTACAATGACTATCAGTGGGTCTTTGGAGAACTGGAATACCAGACTGACGATAAGACCGTGGCAAGGACGGAGTTCGTCTGAGCGGGCCATGGGGTTGACCCGAAGTCTGATGCAAATTTTCCGTACTACCTTCATACGTTAATGCAAAGGAGAGTCACAAAAGCAGCATGAAAAAAAGTGAGAAGTATTTTATATACCGCGCTGTCTTGTTACTTGCGTCTCTGCAGTTACATCTATACCTAGTTCCTATTCTATTCCAAACATCGTTTAATAACAATTAGTAAAAAAACGTGAATATATACCTGTAGCACTTATTACTGGTCTGGATGTTCGAGGGCTAACGCTTGCTGATCTCGTAACTACATTTAAACTGTTGATGCTACCGCTGTTACTAAGAGACATCAATGAGCGTTTATATGCAGTATCGAGACTGTTGAGCAATGCTTCTGCTTGTTCCGGAAAATGATCTTTGAATGCCCAATATGATCTGAAAACATTTAAAATGTAGTCTATTACTTGCTCAAAGGAGCAAATACTGATAGAAGCAACAAGGAATATTTACTTCCTAGCAAAAGCTCTTGCTTCCGAATCCGAGTCGGCGATACCTTTCTTGATCGTATCTTGTAATATCGTTACGTGTTTCTGCAATATTTGAGTAGGCCATATTTGTAAAATTAGATTTAGATATTCACATGATGCACGACGTATGTCTTTACTCTTGTGACTTAAACACGACGTGATAATTGGCACGAAACGACTGCTATGTGTATTCTGAAGAATAAACCTCACTGCTACGGCACCAGCTGTTGCCACAACCTATACGTGCAAAATTGTCAATGTAAGTTTTTCCCATGTTACCGCAATTCTCTTTGATTCTCTTTGGTATTGGCGTTAAATAATTACGAATCTCACCTTGGCACTATTTTGTATGAGGTTCATTAAGGTGAGTAAGACTGCTTCTCCAAAAGTAGTGAATTTATTTTTTAACTGTTGACTAAGAAACGCTAAAGTAATACACGCCTCTCTTACCACTTGCGATCTAAGATCTGTGCAAGCCACTTCGAAGGGTCTTTGCACGTTTTTCAAGTTTTCTAAAAAGTTTTCATAATTCGTACCACCCGCAATAATGATTGCTCTTAATTTTTTCATCTGTAAGGCAATTTAATTTTATGAAATAACTAATTAATACGTAACAAATTAATCAATGATAAATTGATCAAGCAACATTAGAACAATATCTGGGCACATTACATACACTTTCTGTCCTCTGCTTCCAATCTTTCTTATCGTCACCAACGTTATCTTTTATAATTTTCATCTGCTCTTCCAGATCTTTGGCGGAAAACAGATTTACGGATGGCACATCTTCAAACGCTGTAATGAAAGTTTCCTCGTCGACGGCACCAGCTTGACCTAAATATATTAATTGCATGTATATAATTTATATGTATTAACGCAAAAAATTAAGATTCTATTTAACGAGACAACGCACCAAGATATAAAAAATCGTTTGATAAAATATCACAAGATATAAAAAAAATCAAAATTTTTTAATTTTATGAATTTCATTGAGATACTTCAATTTCACCACGAAATTTATTACTTCTTTTTTATACAGAAGAAAGATATCTTTTTATACGCTTTTATTTTTTACCTTATGGCAACGAACACTTTATGATGCTTCAAAACACTGTTAAATAAGAATGGCATAAAAAGCAGTGCGATTAAAACAGATTACAGATATACAGCGACCTATTTCACGCGTGAAAGGGAGATGAAGCAACATTGTACAAAGTGCATGATACGTATATATGATGAACAAATATTCAATTGAATTTGACAAATTTCATGTTATATTCTTGTACTTATATCATGATGGATATTTAGAGCAAAGGGAAGGAAGAGAACACAAAATCTAAAATCAATTCAACAAAAAACATAAAGACTTGTGTGCAATAGAAAACCATCATGATATAATACAAAATTAGTAATGCCAATGAAGTTTTAGATACCTGACGTCGATTTTACTGACACGTTTCTTTTGACGGTTGTAGCCCTTGGAACCATGGAATGTGTATTACCAGGCTGAGCTGTCATGCAAGCGAATAATTAGCATTCTCGTCAACGAAACGTCAACAGTTTATCGACAATTTGTCGGCGGGTAGTTTCAGAAAATATTATTAATATCGTACGAAATGGCGAGCCACAACAGGAGAAAGCAAAAAGTTATAAATTAGTTAACACGCTTCACACCTGTGCGTTGGTTGGCAGGAGGAACATGTGCTATCATAATGTTAATCTTAGAAATCATGACATTCGTGTACGTGTATTAACATTTGGTCTTGCACATAAATAAAGCACTTATGGTACACAAAGTGCTTACGTTTACATACAATACAATACACATGAAGTAGCAAAGAATTTATAAACAAAGGTGAATAATTAAATATATCATTAAATAATTCTAAAATTCGATTGACTTGTAACGTTGAGATCTAATTTGCATACTATTTTTATCTCGGATTATCTATGTATATAAATACAGTTGTAAAATATAATTCGACACAATTACATTTGCTAATACAAATTTTACTAACTTGCCTATATAGATTATGGGACTACAAACAAAGAGTTATTTTGAGTAGAATAAATCTGCGTTAAACGAGTGTGATATATCATGCTTAGAATAAATAAAAAAAAGAAAGATCTTTATACTTGGACATGATCGATTTATACAGAATGACAAGTAGCATTGAGTCTGTACGAAATTCGTGTGTACCTAGAGCTGAAGATGGCGTCTTTGCTGGTCCGAATTGTCCTCTTTTTGGTGTAGCAGCCGATCTTTTCATAGGAGCCGATTTAATCTAAAATATTTCAATTTATTTCGTGTGTTTGTTTCACGTAAGTACATACGTAGTAGTTTAAATTAAATCTTCTTTTTAAACTGATACTCACTGCTCTATCTGTTTCATCCGTGGACTTCCCAACTGAAAAAAAGAAAAAGAAAAAAAAACAAAATATATTCAATGACGCAAACATATCTTTCAGAGATGTACAACAAAATTACGGCCAAAGATCTTTTCCTCTCAGTCGAAATTTATTTTTTTTTCCTAAAAAATTTTATACCTAAATCTGGATATAGCCATGGTGGTTTGTGAATATCGCAATGGCAGCCTCTTGCTCGAGCGCCTGGATGTTTCACGATATTATCCCACTGAAGAATCCATCTACTACTTGGATCCCACAGTTTTTTATCGATACTCGGATATTTCTTTAATCCTCTGTGCAAGCAGCGATGGTTGCTTGATAACAACATATCAGTGTCGTTCATCGTAATGAAGAGGACTTTTTCTTTTTATCGAAATCACTGAATAACACAATTACGAGACATGTTGCAAAGTACAAAGTGTAGTTTACACTTTAACACCATCCATAGACCACGCGAATAGTCTTCATTATGGCATAGCTAAATATATCTTCTCGCATCCTTTTGCATTTACATGATATCAATCAAGATTCTACACACTCGACAAGTCAATAGTTTGTTAAAGTTATTAACGAGAAACAAAAGATATTCGTTTAGAGAAAAGTGAAAACTCGGAGCTCACGTTTCTTCTCGAGTCTAGAACGAACGAAATAATCGGCATGTTCGTCAGTGAAAGTGATTTGCATTATCCTTTAACGAAGCAGAGAACTTTCATAACTAATTATCGACTTTTTAATCGCTACTTGTTTAATCAGGGGACTCGCGGATGTACAAATTTCTTATCGATGAAATTCTTCGACAGCATAGAGATTTAAATTATCTTGATCTTCAATCGATAAAGAAGAAAGAAAGAAAGAAAAAAAAAAGATTCCATTATGATTTTGGAATTTCATTATCGACTTTCATTTCTTGAATTACTACGTGAAACTTTTCCTAACTAATACATAACAGTGTATACATGTCTCTGGATAATCAAAATCATTTTCACTTACACGTAATGTTTATTTTCTAATTTTATTATAGAGTCTTATTTCTGACAAACGCCGGACAATTCGAAAAACAATCGAACAATATCGGAAGAAAGTTTAAACTCTAACGGTTGGCGGACGTCGGCCATCATGTCAAGTCCACGCGGTGTTTCACAATTAACACAGGTTCCCATTCATCGGGTGCATAATTACTGTTACGTAGGGGATTAGAAATGCGAATGCAATAATAGTCAATGATCAAGTAGATCGTGTGTAAAAACCGATTCCAACTCGAATGTAAAATATCGGACAGCGGCACAACACGTTGCAGCACGCGCTGGGCTAAGAATCTAGATTCGCATTCACGATATCACTCGTAATAAGCACGGCAATGAGATGCGAGAGAGTTATTTTCTCACGTTACAGATAACGCATGCAGCAGCATCCTCGTTATGTTTGGTTAGTCGAGATTTTTCCTCAATCAACATTCCACATTTCCGTTTCTTGTTGAAACTTTTCTATTATACAACGAACGAACGAGACGATTGAAAAATAAAAATAAATTGCATTTCCAAGGATCGTTGCGTCACGGACACGAACCACAGGCAGTTGCACGTAAATCATCAGAGAACACACGTGTACAAACACGCTTTATTCTAACGATAACGAGGATCGTATAATCCTCCGTTTGTCTCTCAGAAGCATGTTACGCTATTCAAGACGGGAGAAGTAGAAAAATGAAAGTGAAGAACTGAAGAATACTAGGAAAATTTTCAGTCGATTTGAAGAAAGCGGAATCGCTGGTGCGTCGCGTGCACGTGAAAGTAAGCACGCGTTAATCGTTAATCACTTTTCATTTCTGCAGGGATCTCGCAGCGATAACACGGTAGGACAAAGTTTTTTTCAAGATTTTACACATGAAACACGTTCTTCTTCTCCATCTCGAAACATGTTAGTCATGATCGCCATTTTCCAGGACATCGATATATTCGATATATTCGACAGTTTCCTTCGTCGATTTTTTCAAACGGCACACGTCCGTTAACTCATCGAGAATGCAAAACAAAGGAATTAGCTCTTCCACTAGAACAGACTGACGACGATATTTTCCACGACTACGTTGCACTACCTTGGTATAATCTTTATCGTACAGTATCGAATTAGCATGGTAAACACGGTAGGCGATAATTCGCGTAAAATAATGTTGCAGTTTCGTTCGAACGATCGAGGGCAACTAACACCGCGGACGAATCGTTCTCCTGGTAACTCCACCTGTTAGACGCAACGACGATGTATTTCGTCGCCACGGTTATGTCTGATCAGGTAAACAAACGCACGAGCAGAAACTGAAACGATCGTCCTTGCCCATTGTCCATGAATGGCACACACGTACTGCTTAGAATACACTGTTATACTCCTGGCCAGATCGTGTTCGACCCGTGACATAGAGAAAAAAAAACACGATCAAGATCACCGAGCAGTCCGTCACGATTCTGGATACGTTTTTTTCTTTCTTTTTTTTTTTAGGAAGAAACTATCCAACGAAAAGACAGACACGCGGAGAGACACGCATCTCTCACGTTACTAAATGGCGACTCGTTTACAAACTCCCGTAAGCGTTGTGAGACGGTCGCGAGACCCGAGACTAAAGTTGGACAGGAGGAAGGGGACCTTCCCCTATCGAGTGCCCCCCGATGGGGGCCAAATCGAGGGACCCACAACATTCGAGAACCCATCTCTCGATTACAGCAGCGTCAAATATTTTAGAGACTCTCGAAAGCGGTGTTATTCGTGCTTTATAAATATGACGCTGAGAAATCGAATCGGCACATGATCTTGACCATGTACTATTATTTGTACTATTCAACGACTTATCTTTCGATTATATATGTACTATTATACATGTGCATTCATCATTCGCGATTATTTAAATACTTGGTACATGTTCCACTTTGATAATTCTAATATTAATGTTGCTTAATTCAGTTCTGTTCCAGCAAAATCAATCATCATGTATCTTTAATTTTTCTACTTGCTACACATATTTATGAACGATAATATGAATATCATACTTTAAGCTATCCGTATCAGAGAACATAATAAACCTATTTCTTAATGTTTTTTTCTTGTTGCAGTTTCGCTTTCCATACGTGTCAAGCTATATTCGAGATTTTTAAATTAAGACTGCGTTATCGATTGATTTATCACAAGTATAATTAAATGCATGCCATATATTGGCGATCGAGTTGAAATAAAAACAAGAAAGCCGAGCGAAATGAGCAGATTGACCTGATTGCGAAAGCACGAACAAATTGTCCTGGACCCAGGTGTAAAACAAAGTGGCTGATTAATGCGGGGTTCCCATTCAATTTGCAGTCATTTGAACGTCTCCCCGCGTTTATGGAGGATCGACGGTACGAGTAGAGGGAGTAAACGAAGATTAATGTTAATGTGTGCAAGAAACAGGTCGTACGATGAATAAGGTAAAAATTGTCCCCGAAGTTGTCCTCCGAATTGAATACTCTAACGATGGGAAAACGTTTAAGGGATCCCTCGTCCCAAAATTCAGCCGCAACCACACCTGAGATGATGCAACAAATGTTTCTGATAATCTACGATTAACAGGACACAGATTGGCTGGTGTACGGAGATATAATTAAATTCCAGATCTACCGCAGCATGAGAAGAAAAGTAAGTGGATCGCCGTTGCAATTACAATGTTTATCTGTAATAAACCGCTTGTACCGTCATCGAGAGTTCCCCCTCGCTCTGAAGGCAAGAAGTTAATGCAAACAGGACCGTGAAAGAAGGAGGTCCCGGCCGGCAGAGCAATAATGCTCCGATGAAGAAATAATCTGAACTATACACCACTACCGTAATTACACGTTTCGAATTAAAGATGCAATTAACGTCTGCTTAATCTTCATTCGGTGATTAAAAAGGGACAGCCTTTAAATTATCCAGAGTATGTGTTCTTGTATATTGATTCATATCATTTTAAACGAGCTATTGAGCGTGCTTCAGATAAGTACGGCAATCGTTTTATAGGTCATAACAATTTGAAACCAGCGACAAAGAGAAAAGGGAGGAAGGAGAAAAAAATAGAGAAGTTAACCGATCATTCTTCCTAATTTGGAAATCATCTTTCGCCGATGCTCGGAACTCGACGAAATTCGATTACATCTACGTTTGCACGTATGGCGGAAAGTAATTAGTAATTACGAGAGAAGAGGAGATCACTGGTGGATAATTAATGTGATGCGTGTACGAGACAATACCGAGTAATTATTTTAACTTCTTCCTTGACGAGTCGCGACGATCCACTACTCGTCAACTTCTTAGAAATCGAGTGCAGGATCGAGTGCAGAATAAAATTGTGTATAGAAAACGAGATATAGTCACTAGGTAAATTTCTCCAGAAATCGTATTTACACTGTCTGTCATTCATTGGTGAAAGTAATGTTATTTATTATTCTTATCCATCAGCAAAATACGACGGTGCTTCTGATCTCCCATCGAAGAAAGCTGAGAGAAGAAAGGTAGAGAAGAAAATCCTGATGTCGTGCGCGCGATTCTCATTGTTTCGCTAACTGCTATTGTAGCCACGATGCAATAGTGTGCCAATGGAAGAAAAAGGAAAACACGAAACGCCAATTCCACGGAACAGTTATTAAACGTTGCTGAGGAGAAGAAGAAAAAGGTAGAATCGCCCACGCGAACGACACGCTTTGAACACGATAATATTATCCTCAATGTTACATAACATTACGTACAAACTGTACTGTGTACGCGGTATCGGGCGAGAATGTGGTTTTATCGTTTTAGGCAAGTCAAGTATCGTGGATCAAGCAAACAATTATTATTCTATTAAGGGAATTAGTCGAACGAGCCTTTTTTTTTCCTTTCCATGAAAAAACGCTCGAGGGGAAGCTCGTTTTGCTTGATTTGGAGAAACGAAAGATCTTTCACACACACACACACACACATACGATACACACTTTCTTCACACCGGCATCGCCAGTGCTACAAGAAAGCGTGTACAATGAACGATGAATCTTCTCAGCCAGGTCGTTACTTTCAGTTTTCTTGCGTTGCAACGCTGGTGGTAGTCTTCATCCAGGATGCTAACTACTTGTCTCCCGTGGACTCGCGCGGCTTTTGTCAATAGGCTAAGCGCGAACGTTGTACCGCGAGCCGGCGCAGAATGTCAGCAGAGAGTTAACGAGAGAGGATAAAAAGGGCATCCGCGTGCTATCCAGCGTTTAATATCTGATCATGCACGGAGAACACAGAACGGTGCACCGTAAAACTGTGCACGGTGTATATAAAGATAAATCTATGTTACCACCCTACCTTTCACTTCTCTCGTGCACGTGTACACGCGTCTTGCGCGCTGTCCTCAGGGTAAGAAGGTCGTACAATAAGAAGGCGAGTTCAAGCTGAACGATGTGGGTGCTAATTTCGATCGAGCAGTGAAGGGGGATAGGGTGAATAATCTCTCTTTCTCTGCCGAGAAACCGGTGCGGCAGAAATACACCTTAGAGAGATTCCTGTCGTGTCTCGTAAAGAAAGAAAGAAAGAAAGAAAGAAAAAAACACTGTTGTTTCTTGCCATCACCGTCGAGATAAGACTAACGAGATCGAACGAATTCAACAGTTTATAGGAAATTATGAACCGATTTGTAAGAAACACACAGTAGTTGTCTCGATGTAAAATACGGCACAATATAAAAACGACGGTATAATACCGATTCGACGCGAAACATCTTCTCTGTTCTTTCACCTCGGAGGCCAGAAGGAAAGACAGAGACAACGAAAACGAGACATATGCAAATTATTTTGTAGAGCCATGTTCGTTTAACCTTTGTCAACCGTGTCACATACCGCGTACAAGGATACTCGTGGCGCTAAGTTGTATACAAATCCCCCATCATACAACTGAGAAAAATGCCAGCATTATTACGCGAAAAGACTTTGCTAAAGACAAAAAAAACGTGATGTATTCTTTTTTCTTTTTTGTAAGCTTCACGAGAGGAAAAAGAATTTTTAACTCGTGATAATTTAAATTACACAGCGACAGGAAATTACGTATGAGATCGACGTTACATCTTCATGGTAATTTGGTGTTCTATTAATATAGCTGAAATCAAGCGAAGAACCGTAATTCTCTTGCCAAGCCCAACGTATGACCTAATCGTGATTAAGTGACAGAGAAGAAGAAATGCATTATGTCTTTAAATGCAGATGTATTGTCGTTTACAAATACGATTATGGTTATCGTTTGCCGTTGTCTTTTTACCAATTGTTGATCGTGGAAAATATACTACGATACAGCTACGATTAATGAATATTTTTATCTGCAAATAAAAAAAAATTTTTACAAAAGATATTAATTCTTTATCTCAGAAATATTTGCCAGAATACATCGAAACAACTTCTTCGAAACTTTACAAGATTACTTACGCCAAGGTGTATATTCCTTCGATATATCGTTGCATAAGAGAAGTATGTATCGGCACTTTTTTTTTTTTATCAAGGGACAAAGATTAATTATACAATGGAATGCATGTATGCGCATCATGACTCATCGAAAATCTCGGTTTACTTGTACTTTTTACTATCTACCGGTATAATAAAGTTGGATTTTTTTTTTTTTTTTTTTT